AAATGTAAAACACTAAGGGTCTTCTGGCAGCGCCTTCACAACGTCCCAGTTAATCAAACTCTAATATAGACCATCCAGCTAGCTTAGATGGAATGGTAAGGATAAAATACATGACCGGGTAGGGTTACTATGGAATCCAGTCTCGCCCTTCGACGTCTCTAACCCCGGCAGGATGACATTCATTGGAATAAACCGCCCCAAGGACGCGGTGCTGCAAAAATATGCCTACACGGGCTCATTTTTCTGTACCTCCTACAAGTACTCCTTTAGTAAAAGGCAAAGGATTTGTCCGCAGTTGAGGGGTTCAAAGAGGCATCTTGCTATGCATATTCCCGCCGCCCACATCACCGTCATGTCCGATTAACCGAGGGAGAACATTAAGTCACGACCTGCCCCTTTACGTCCGCTGTATGGAATAGAAAGGTCTCCAGTGCCTTCTTTAGGTCCGCGACGTCCAAAGGTAGTACTAGACTTCGTCCACGTGGGCCCATACAGCCCCGCTGGACACGTAGCCTCCTTCGAGTAGTTTCATTTTAAGGCGGCTGCAGTACGCCTCAATGCGGCCACACTCGCATAACTCCCGTAGGGGACACTTCACAGGCTACCTTTTCTGGACTCTGGTCATATACTTCATCCTTGCCGATGGAATTATTTGATGTCAGTTTAGTAGTTTCTGACGTTTCAGATCGCATATATCGTTTGGCAATGGCTGTATTCGAGTATTTTCGTCGCACAGTTGGTGCTCAGGGGGACAAATGCTTGTAAGTTGAAATCCGAAATCCGAGTAACTATTGTCAACGAAAGTTAGCTGGAAATGCAAGCATCAATGTCTTGAAAAAGTGTCGATATGTTCAGTTAACTCAGTTTAGTACATCTTGTGTTCCTTTTCTCGTTTCCTCAAAGAGCTTAGTTATTAGATGCATAACCGTGGTTAATGATCCGTACTATGAGGTTAATAAAAGCATACCAGGAGTTCAGACCTATTTTCAGTAATTGAGACGGTTGTAAATTATGAATTAGTACATCGCAGATTACGTGATTCTCTCGCGGGTTCTAAGTTTTTGAACCTGATTGTTGAATAGGTGGAAGAAAATGTCTACATTTTCAGCGATCTTAATCTGAAAATCTAGCCTTAGAGTGTGCCACTGCAGATTTTGTGAATAGGAATTTTCAACTCTGGCACAGCCAAGGAAAAATTGTCTTGTATTGATGGTGAGGCTAGAGTTTACTTTTGGTCATCGAGAACTTATACAGCGAGGTAACACGGAGAAGAAAGCTTACATCTGTCAGTAAGTTTTCATATTTTACAAGTGCTTTTGCTTCAGCAACTATATTCCTTTATGCATTTTTCATATCTCATGGGCGTATTTTAAAATGACAACATTCTGTTTCAAGTCAAACTCTGCCAGGTGTTTTGTGGTCATTGAAGGCATTTTTGTCCACAGAAGG